AAGCAATGTGGACGATGAGGATGTGACACGAGTGAGAGAATTTATAAAATTACAAAAGTTATTTGATGTAAGTAGAATAAGCAAGTCGTCTTTGACACGCGATTCTTCGAGTATGTTTATATTTAGGTCTCCACCAAGAAAAAGTTTACATCTCTCCTCATTTGCAAAACAAAAAAGTTCTTCTAAAAATTAAAAAAGATTGAAACATTTCTACCTGGTGGACGATAAGAAACAGAGTAAATGCAGTTTTTTCTTCTAGCACAGAGTATCTCATAGTCGCGAGTCATGATGGTGTAATCCGGAACAACCTCAAGGTCAGAAAAATTACTTTGTAACGAGACACCTCCACCTCGTCCGTAATCTCGATTTAAATAAAAATGATTATATCCAGGTAGTACATAAAAATCACAGTCATCAATATACCATGTTTCCGTTAGCATAATAATATTAAATGAAGTTTGAAAAGAATCAAAAAGCAACATTAGGCTGTCTCCTTTATTCCTCGCAGATTGCACGTTTAGATGAAAAAAACTTAACTTAGTTTTGTGACCCTCACTCAAAATGATGCTTTAATCGTTTTTTTTTTCGCTTTTTTTTTGCAGCTTAATTGGAATCTTTTGCTGGAGAAAGCCAGGAAAAAGTAAAAAAATGCCTGCATTAATATTTTTGACGTCTTTTTTTTCTTTCAGGACACAGCTAGGCTTGCACGGTAAACCGCTTCAGCATGCTTGTGATTGTCATCAGTTGGTGATTATGCTGCTTAAATAATAACTTAAAAATTACTTCGCTTTAAAAGGCTTCCCGTGCTCATATTTCTTTAGGCGTCACAACGTGAGGTTTTAAAGGGGAATGTAATATGCAGTTTATAACATAGTACAAACAAAAGTAGTTTTAACGTCTTTTATGCAATATGACCGGTGAAAAATGAACTAACGTATTTATCAAGTGATTATAGTCTATGAAAGGGTAGCGATCAGTCGGATTAACTTTTTAATCAAACCACAGCTTTAATCAACATTTAATGTTTTATAACAGCCATGGTTTGTGCGAGTTAACAAAACTATGTGGGACCAGCGGTTGTATACAAACCACAACACTAAGATTATGAAAGCATCCGACTTAATAATAATCGCTTTGCTGAATTCCCACGCATGTTAAACGATACAACACAATCTTTGGTAGGAAGAAACAAGAACAAAAACTACAAGCGTTTAATAAGGAGGGCTCAGCTCAGCCTGATGCGGGCTTGCGTCGTCGAGATCTATGCTTGTGAACGTGCGCCCGTAGCAGACGACGCATGCCGATACCCCCGCTTTCGCATGTTTCCGATTTCGGCCGCACGGTGGCGATATAGTTCGATCACGAGGCGAATCCCTGCATTTATACTAAAATAACAAAGATAATTCAACATAAAAATGAAAAAAAAAAAGAAAGTTTGCCACAGCTGTTACAAAAATTGTGCGACTGCGATCTGCAAGCTAGAAGCCAGGCGAGCCCATGGGCCGAGCCTTCCTTGGCATGAGACGGAGAGCGTGCCAAACTTAATATGGCGGCGACCACGGTCGGATGCCACTTTCGCCGACTCACAATCGATAGGCCTCGTAGGGAAACCTTTTTCCAGAAGAGCAGTAATTGGGCCATGGCCGGCTGCTCCGGGAAGTGGCTTCGCGATGCGCGATCCCCGTGGTCCTCGAGATTTAATTCATTCCACCCCGCTCTCTTTGTGGACGGCCATGACCAAGGTCTGGATTGCGTGACCTGGACAGTGAGATGCCAAGGTTGGTTTAACTCTGCCCTCCATGTGCGGGTCGACTCGGCGGATTGCAAAAGCTAGAGTACCGGTGAGCCAGTATAGGAGTTCCGGAGTCGGGCACGTGATCAGAGCCGAGGTTCTGTCGCGGAGAGTGTGAGCTGAAACAGTCCCTCGTGTTTCTTGGGCTGCCTGCCAGTTTTCGAGGGATTTTTGGTCCGAACTATAGGAATCGTATGCAAAGTTGAGGTGAAACGGGTAACCGAACCGTTAGTTCAAAAGCCTTACTGAACCTGCAGAACCAAACCAGAAGAAAATGCAAAGCTACTGAACATGAACCCGAACCGAACCATAATGCTGACTCGTTCGGCTCCCTGCTTTTAAGTTGTAATCGGACTATTTGGCAAAACATGAAAGATATTATAACTTTTGAGGTTCGCAGACATACATTGCCGGATCGGCTGTCAGCTCTTTGTGCTCGCAGGGGTACATCAAGGCGATGCACTTGAGTAAACTACTACTATAATATTAAAAAAAGTGGTCAATTGTTTAAAAATAAATTGAGCATTTTTTTGAGCTGAGAAGACCGTTGCGTTCTCACCGTGGTACGCGATATTTTTGGCGGTTGCACATTTTGTCAATACTTTTACGCCCAAACGGCGGTTGCGGCTGCGGGAAGAAGGAGTGAGGCTCAGGCTGGGAAAAATACTCGCGCAACAGAAAACTCACCCCATGAGACGTTCCAATGTGATACTTTAGGGCTCAGAAAGCCAAGATAGCAGATTGCGCAGTATTGTTTCTTTTCTAGAACGGTGACTGGAACGTTAACCAGGCGCCATGACTTGGGTCCCACGCGGTCTAGCTGTTGGAGCCCAGCCGACCTTAGCATCTCTTCTGGTTAAATGATTTCCATCTCGATTTGCTTTGCATCCTTCGCGATACTATTTTTCTTCCAAGATTAAAACATATATAAATACGTTCAACAAGCATATCAGAACACATAAGGTCATATTTTATCGTATGTTCGTATATCTTGAGAGACCCGTGAGAGCAGCTGTACAGAAGACCGGCCCAGCGAGCGGCCCAGTAAACACACTCGGGTCGTCACTACCCACATCCGCAACCACAAACTCCATTTAAACATCGTCAGCACCTAGCTGCCTTCCAGTCTTTAACAAGAAAGGTCGTTACGGGCTTGAGTTGGGCTAGTCGGTGCATGACAAGGATAGGGCCAGCTTGAACTTGGAAACGTAAAAGCGTGAAAAACAAAGACAGAAGAAAAAGACAGAGATAGAAATACTCCTGGACAACCAACTATGGATTTAATGCTTCTTCCTCTTCTTCTTGAACCTTAACTATCCGCCTCTTCTTTCCTGCTCATCCTGAGAGCGCCATACAATTCAAAGATGAAATAAAATAAATTGAAAGCAAATGACAGCCACATACATTCCACATACAATCCCAGATTGACAAACCTAATTGTCAGATTGAAAAATGTATGTGGCTGTCATTTCATTTCAATTCATTTAATTTTATCCTTGGAATGTATGGCGCTCTCAGGATGAGCAGGAAAGAAGCAGATAGTTAAGGTTCAAGATGAGGAAGAAGCATTAAATCCATAGTTGGTAGTCCAGCAGTATCTCGATCCCTGCCTCTTCCTTCTATCTTTGTTTTTAACATTTTTTCGTCTCCCAAGTTCAAGCTGGCCCTATCCTACTAAAAAAAGTCGAGTTCAACACGCCGTCATCTGCATTTTGTGGAGACTGAAGAAAAGACAGCCGCTTCACTGGTGTCTACGCCCGTTCTACCCGTGCTCGTCCTGAGCGCGCGCTAGCTTGACCCACCTCACGAGCCACCTTTATTGTCGTCCTTTTCAATCCCCACATCATTCCCCCTCTCGGGGGGGGGGGGGGGGGGGGGGCGGAGAGTTTTGTTCATCAGGTGGTTTTCGTTGGTCCCCTCCCCGAGCACACGCCATGATTGTGGAGTTTTTGGCAGGGGGCATAGTGATGCCGTGATTCCAGTCACTGCACAGCCTCCGTCGACGATAGGGTTGCGTTGGGAGCTGTGCCTCGGCAAGCGATGCAAGGGTGGCCAGGACAGACGTGCTTTCCTGGTCACGACTCGTCGGTGGGGGGTGGTTGGTGAGGTCGTGGTGATGGGCGGTGGCCTCCCCAAGAGATGGCTTCTATGTGGCGAAAGATCTCTTGTATGTGAACGTAGCTCGACGGTTTAGGTATTATTTTGCTTGTGAGGCTATAGAGTTTGATGTGGTAGTTAAATTTCATCGTCGCTAAGTCTGATGTTCGCCAGTTCTGGTGGTAAGGGTAGTGTTCGGCGCAGGCGTTCGGGGCAGGCACGGCCAACGATAAGGAGGGCGGCCTCGATGTCGGCAGGTGTAAGGGCCCGTGATTCAGCTCGCACCAGCGCCCGCTGGCGGTCTTCTCGGTCGTGGTGAAGTGCTCCTTGATGATGTTGTTCGCATGAAATGAGTGGGACGCGGCAAAGTTCACAGATGTCGGCATATTCTTCCTCGTCGTAGGCGGCGGGTAGATCTGCAGCACAGCGCTCCGTCAGTGTCCGTCGCCGGAAGGGATGGGGAACGTCTTCTGGTGCAGTCCCTTGTGGCACTTGAGGTTGGTGTTCCCAGGCCATCCGGGACGCGAATGTGACCATTCGACCGGCCTCCATCACGCACCAGGTGGCAGCCTCGGCAGTGCGTGGCGGTTGCTGACGGCGGTTATGTCGCCTGGCGCGGCGTGAGTGGCCCCGTGGGTTGAATTGGGGGCGTAGGGGGGATCGGGAGCGGCTCCGAGAGCGTCGGAAGGAATGGGTGTTGCTGCGTCGAGGTGGCATGCCTGGATAGAGAATAACCATGAGCAACAATCTTTCGTGTGGCAAAAATTGACGGGGGACTGTGTTTCTTAGGACATCCCTAAAGGGTGACATGTCTAGAAACAAACGGCTTCAGATCACAAATGTTAACGGGTCCAGTTAACGACCCGTCTTCGACATGTCGTAACCTATACACCAAATGTGATACCCGTGAAACAACTTCCAAGGGACCTTCCCAACGAGGAGCTAGTGATGCCGCGAATCCCTTTGCTGCATTACTAAGCGGGTGCACGCGCCGGAGAACGCAGTCGCCTATTGAAAATTCTAGGGATCTCCTGCCTTGGTCATATTGGTTCCTCTGATCGAGCTGCGCTAACTCAATATTTTGTCGAGCCACTCGCACAGCGTGCGAGTGGCTCGACAAAATATTGACTAGCTCAGTCGGTAGAGCATGAGACTCTTAATCTCAGGGTCGTGGGTTCGGGCCCCACGTTGGGCGCCAATGTGGAGACTGAAGAAAAGACAGCCGCTTCACTGGTGTCTACGCCCGTTCTACCCGTGCTCGTCCTGAGCGCGCGCTAGCTTGACCCACCTCACGAGCCACCTTTATTGTCGTCCTTTTCAATCCCCACAATTTAAAGCAAGAATAGGTCATCAGAAGTTGTGCTGCGGAAGCGAGGACAGCAAAACAAATAAACGCTTAATTTCGTTTTGTGATCTTGACTTTCTAACTGAAACACTGTTTTTTTTTTAAATTACGTGGTTATGGAGGTGCTTGGAAACTACGAAAGTACAGTACTCACATATGAAGTCAATCAGCCAGCACGCGCAGTGACAATTGTTACCCAGGATATATGAGAAATTCAGCGAGTGGAGTACGACCGCTGGTCTGGGGTCCCTACTGGCTCACGCAGTTCTGATACACGTTACACGACCGCACGCCGGTACGATGCTCATCCAGATCAAAACGGCAAACTGCCCACGCCGCACACCCAAATCACGACTTGCCCGAACGACTGTGTTGAGGAGGAAAGTCAAATTTGGGGGTTTTACGTGCCAAACCAACGACGGGCATCTGGCACGCCCCAGCGGAGGACTGAGGATTACTTTGGACCACCTGGGGATCTTTTGACGTGCAACCGAAAGCTCGGTTACACGGCGCCTTCACCGCAATAAGCCTCCGTCAGATTGCGGGCACCTCGGCCGGGATTCGAACCCGCCACAAGGGGATCCGTAGGCCAACGCTCTCGCCTCGGAGCCACCGAGGCGGCCTGTGTTGAGTTGGAGAAAGAAAGCGAAGGCCAAGAGAGAGAGAGAGAGAGAGAGCAACTTTAATGGGTCTCCTGCAGTAACCCCTATCATCCCACCCTCTCAGGTGGGTTCTTGGGGTGACGTGGCCGGACGTCTTCTTAGCGGGGAGAGCCGCTCGCGGCGGGCTTCAGCGTACTCGGGTTAACCCTTTCTGCTTCCATCCCGTCCGGTCGCTGCTTCTCGAGTGCCGCTAGGATCTGCTGGACGGCCGTGTGTTGGACGTCGTAGTCTTCGGATCTCTTCGCCTCCTCCATGAGGGGCGGGAGAACGTCTGCACTGTTGTCCGCGTTCGCGCATTCGCAGTCTTCCAGGATGTGGGCCAACGTGGCCCTTTCCTTCCCGCACAGTCTGCATAAGTCTGTTACGTATACCTCCGGCCACAGGTGCTTTGCTAACACTGGGGTTATCACGGAGTTAGTCTGTAACTGGCGGAATACCACCGCCTCCTCCCGCGTCAGACGGGGGTGGGGCAGGGCCATCGTTCTTCTGGCTAACCGGTACCACAGGGTTACCTCGTTGTAAGCGTCCATGGTGTCCTTCTCGGGGCGATCCACCACGTCGGCGGCGGCCGTTACCGGGGCGCGGCCGGCGAGTCCACGCGCCACGGAGTTGGCCGTCTCGTTGTGGTTGGTGAGCCCCAGCGAGCCCGCCACTTCCGCGCCCGCGTGGGCGGGAAACCACTTTATCACCGCACTGGTGATGACTCCGTTGACTTCGGCCTTTCGCAGGATGCGCGCTGCCGCACTGCACACTCGCTGTTTCGCAAAGTTGCGCACTGCCGTTCGCGAGTCGCACAACACCGTCTTCGTTCTGGGGTCCGCGATGGCGAGGGCTACCGCCACTTCTTCTGCCTGGCTGGGCACAGTGGTCCGCACGCTGGCCGCCATCCTGATCTCACCCGTTTTGGCTCCGATCACGCTGACGCTGAAGGCGTCGCCGATGTTCTTGTAACTGGCCGCGTCCACGAACACGGCTCCCTCATCGCCGGCGTGTAGCGCGATCAGCGCCTTGGCTCTCGCCTCTCTTCTTTCTTGATGGAATGTGGGAGTCATGTTCCGCGGGATTGGGCTCACGACGATGTGCTTGCCCAGCTCCCGCGGTATCTGCTCCTGCATCCGGTGGTCGTCTTCCTTGGCTCCGATGCCTAGTTGTTTGAGGATAGATCTGCCGGTCCTGGTTCCCGACAGTCTGGTGAGCTGCGCCGTCTGCTGTGCCTCGGCGATCTCTTCCAGGCTATTGTGGAGTCCCAGGGCTTCGAGCTTCTGCGTGCTCGTGCATCCTAGGAGTCCTAATGCTGATTTGTAAGCTTTGCGGATCATCGCGTCGATCTTCTTCCGCTCGCACTGCCGCCAATTATGGAAGGCGGCGACGTAGGTGATATGGCTCATCACGAAGGCTTGAATCAGTCTGACGAGCCTTGCTTCCTTCATCCCGCTTCTTCTATTGGCGACGCGGCGTATGAGACGCAGTGCCGTGCCGGTCTTAGCTTCGAGCTTGGAGACCGTTGCCCCGTTGACTTTGCTGCGTTCGATGATCATGCCCAGCACTCTAATCTTGGCTACCTCGGGGATGATGTGCCCCCCTTGCGTTCGTATGCGGATTTTATCGCAGTCTCGGATAGTTTGCTTCTTGCGGCTCGCTCCCCTGGGTGAAATCACCATCAGCTCCGACTTTGCGGGGGAACACACCAGCCCCGATCCCTTCAGTTGGTCCTCTATCGTTTTTACAGCTTCTTGTAGTGTATTCTCTATGTGGCCGTCGCTGCCGCCGGTGACCCACAGCGTCACATCGTCGGCATAAACCGTGTGGCGTACCCCATCGACGCTCCGCAGCCGGTTGGCGACTTCGATCATGACCAAGTTGAAGAGCAGCGGAGAGATTACCGCGCCTTGTGGTGTCCCCTCGCTGCCGAGCGTTTTCTCTGGTAGTTGGAGATCCCCGGCGCAGATGTGAGTCGTGCGGTCGGTCAGGAAATCCCGAATGTAATTGTAAGATCTCTGTCCCATGTTCAGGTGCGACACTTGGGCGAGGATCGCAGAGTGCCGGACTTTGTCGAAGGCGCTCTGCAGGTCCAGGCCCAGTATTGCCCTGTTGTCGCTGGTGTGAGTTTCGTAGTCTACTATCTCCTTCTTGAGTTGGAGCATGGCGTCTTGCGTTCCAAGCTTGCTTCGAAAGCCGACGAGAGAATCCGGGTAGAGCTCTGCCTCTTCGAGGTACTGTTGCCATCTGGTCATTAAGATGTGCTCTAGCAGTTTACCCACGCACGATGTTAAGGATATTGGGCGTAGATTCTCGATGTCGGGCGACTTGCCTGGTTTCGGAATGAGGATGGTTTTGGCTTCCTTCCACTGGCGTGGTAGCTTGCCGGCCCTCCAGCATTTATTGAAGTACGCCGTCAGTGCCGTCACGGCCGCGTCGTTCAAGTTTCTGAGCGCTTTGTTGCTGACGCGGTCCGGGCCCGACGCCGAACGCCTGTTCAGGTCTTGCATCGCATTTCGGACCTCCCATTCCTCGATGTCTTGGTCAACCTCGATGTTCTCTGCCCCCTGGTATTCTGGGTGCTTTTCCTTTGGGGAAACCGGGAGGTATTTGGCGTCGAGTCTCCTCTTCACCTCCGCTTCCCCGTGCTCCGCTACCGCCTTGTGTATAATTCTGCTGAGCTTGTACTGTTGTTCTCCCTTGGTCTGGGTGTCGTCGAGGAGGTGCCGGAGCAGTCGCCACGTCTTGCCCAGATGGAGTTGGCCGTCCGCCTCTCTGCACGTTTGCTCCCACTGCTGCCGGCCGAGCTCCTTGCTGTGTTTCTCTATTTCCCTGTTGATTTCCGCGATCTTTTTGCGGAGCCTTCTGTTTGTTCGTTGTTGGTTCCACCTTCTCTTGAGGGCAGTCTTCGCCTCGATGAGGTGGGCCAATCTGCTGTCCATTTCGTGTATGTCTTCGTCCGTTTCTATCTCTGTCGTCACCTCCTCGGTCGTTTCTACTATCGCCTTCGACCACGCTTCTATATCTTCAATGTTACCATGCTGGCTTGGGAGCTGACGCCGAAACTCCTCCCAGTTCGTGTATCTGTGTGTTCGTTTCTCTTGGCTTGCACCGTTCCCCAGCGGGACCCGGATCTCTATGACCATGTGGTCGCTGCCGAAGTCGTGTTTGGTGTTTTTCCACGTTGCGGTGTCGTTCCCATTTATTTCGACGAACGTCAGGTCCGGGGTGGTGTCCCTGGCGACCGAAGTACCCGTTCTTGTGGGGGTCTCCGGGTTCGTGATTAGCGTTAGCCCCGCGTCCGTGGCGTCTTGCAATAGGTCTCTCCCCTTTTCGGTTGTCTTATCGTATCCCCAGTCGTAGTGTGGTGCGTTAAAGTCACCCCCTATTACGATCGTGCCTTTCTTCGTCGCACGCAGTGCCCTTTGCATGAGCGTGCGGAACTTTTGCTTTCTATGTCTGGGGCTGCTGTACACGTTGACCGCGAGCACGCTGGTTTTCCTCTTCTTCTTCCCAACGATCATCTCCACCGCGCTGCTATCGGTCCAGCCGCCGGTGGTCAGCTCGTGCTCGAGGAATACGATGCCCTTGCGGACGAATGTGCACACCCCGCCTGTTGGTTTGCGTATTCCAAACTTTTTCTTGTTTTTGTTTAGGGGCTTGGCCGCCTTGGCGTGTGCTCTGTATCCTTGAAGTTGGGGTGTGTCAGTGCATAGTGTTTCCTGAATCATAATGACGTCCGGTTTCCTCTCCATTCCCTGTAGGTGCCGTGTTAGCGTTGCCCTCTTATTGTGATAGCCGTTACAATTCCACTGCCAAATCAGGAGGTCCCTGACCGGCTGCTGGTCTGTTACTGCCCTTTTGTCTGGCTTGGCGTTCGATTTCGCTGTTGGGTTCATAATTGCTGTATTTGGGTGGTGATCTGGGTTTGGGCGTTCTGCACGAATGTCTGCATCTTGGCTTCCATACTCTGCAGGAACGTTTGCATCTGCGTTTGTAGTTGTAGCATTCCGCTTTGTATTTCTCCCAGCGTCATCTCTACCTTGTTGAATTTTTCCTTCATCGAATGTGCAATTTGTTCCCGCTCTTTGTCCATGCGGTCGAGCCTGGCCATGAGCTTTCTCTCTTTGGTATTCTCGATAATCCTCTTTTTGTTGCTGGGCTCCTTTGGCTGTTCCTCGTCGCTTTCGATGCTGCTTTTGGTAGCCTCCTCTTCGGCGATGGCTGGTTCCTCCTTCCTCTTAGGTGGCTTTGCTGGGGTTTTCTTCTTCGAGGATGGGCGGGGTATCTGCTCCACCTCTTGCTCCTGTTGCGGGGTCGGCAGTGACAGTGGCGCTTGACTCGCCCTTATTGCTTCTAGTAGTTTGTCGATCCTTGCGTCCATCTTCTCTTCCATCTTCTGTAGTAGCCTTTCGTTGTTTTCGCTAATCATGTCGTATATTTCTCGCCTTGTCACGGGCGGTTCTCCGGTGTTATGGTGTTGGCATGGTGGCTGCTGCTTGCTGCGGGGCGTTTCTTTCGACTTGCTTCCCTTAACTGCAGCCAACCACTTAAGCTTCCCGTCTTCCTGCTGCGACGGCGGCAGGTGTTTTTGCTGGCTCTTGTGTCTTTCGCGGCTGCCGGTGCGCTGTTGGCTTTCGCTGCACTCGTTTTTCTCCCTGCTCGGCAGCTGTGGAAAGTCCGATGACGTCATTGGTGGTCTTGTCTTCTGGAGCTGTTGCTGTTCGCGTTCCTCTCGGCGCTCCCATTGTCTTTTCGTGACGACGAAGGGGACCTTGAACTTGTTCTTGCAAATTCTATCTGCCGTCGGATGCGCTCCTCCACATAGCTTGCAACTTGGCTTGCATGCCTTCTCGTGGTCCGCGTCGGGGTTGGCCTCCCCGCACGCGAAGCATACTCTGGTCTCCGGGGTTGGACATACGTCGATGCGGTGTCCGACTTTTCCGCAACATCTACACACTTCATGATGTTTCCTGTAAAGCCCGCACTTGAGCAGTGCCGCTCGGTATATTACGTACCGGGGCACTCTCTGTCCTTCAAAGAGGACGATGACCGCTGTAGAATTTCCAATCCTGTGCGCCTCTAGCGCCGTTGGGTTATACTTTGTCACGACCGCCTCATTTATGTCTTCGGGCGAGTCGTCAATTGCGATACCTCTGATGATTCCCTTCGCCGTCCCTTCGGGCGCGGTTCGGTAGGCGGAAACCTCAAATTCCATGTTGCCGAATTCGACGGTCCTGATCTTAGTGTAAATTTGGGCTCTCTGCTCGCTCGGCGTGCTCACGACTAAGATGTTCTGCGCCGCATTGATGCACACCATGTCTTCGCCCTGGTATTCTTTCGCTGTCCCCGCGGCCGCCATAATGGCGTCCGTGACGACCGGCGTCTCGATTCGAGCTACGTTCAGGCCGCCCCTGGGCCTAATCACGATCTTATGGTCGTCTCTGGGGATAGCCGCCGGCATACGGGCTGCTTTCTTGATATTCTCGGTAACTCGCTTGACAAAGTTAACTCTCTCCTTGGGTCTCGACTGCCGTTCCGCGGTTAAAGATGGTCTCTCACCTTGTAGCTCCTTGGCCTTGCGCATTCTTCTACTCGTCGTGGTCCATCCGCTCGACTCGCCGGGTGTCGCGTCGCGGCCTCCTACTTGAACGTACATCTTCCCTTCATCGTTGCCGACTATCGTTGCCTGCAGGCCTTTGGTTGCCGGGCTGTCGCACACCTCCATCGTCGGTGGCGACGCCATCTTATTCGTACTCGTCGGGTAGGCCAAGAGAAAAACAATTAGAAAAAAACAAAAAAGGACAAAAATTACAAGGGGCGACTTGCTGTTCCCAGAAAATGAACACAAACACACAAAAAAAAAATTCATTCAAGCAGCGTCCAGTGCACTGGGCGACAGGCGAACGGCGCCGTAGTGTCGAGCTCGTCGCGGCTTCGCCCCTTGGCGCCTCTAGAGTCACTAAATAAAGCTACGCCTTCAGAGTACCGAAACTTCCTAAATACTCGTCTGAAGCACGTCAGGAGCCTCCACCTTGGGTCCGCGCGCAGATGGAGGAGTGACTGTAGCTGAGCCAAGCCGAGCTGTAGCCGTCGACTGCTACAGCTGCCGCGGTCGCAACTGGCAGCGAATCAAAGTCGTGGTCTTTGTATCTCGACGTAACGCGGAAAACGCGCGTGCTGAGCGGCGGACTTCAGCGTGCGAGGGCAGTAAACAGCAAACAGCAGCATGCAGAGGATCGCTGGACCCAAGATGGTGGCGTTGAAAACGCGATGATGAAAGCGACTCACGTGACTGCCGCTGTCCAATGATGTCGCAGCGAACCAGAATATTGTTGAATAGAGAGACTGTATTGTCGGCAAAATGCCAAAGAAAAGGAATGCGGTACTCTGAAAGCGTGGCTTACCGCCGGATTCAGAAACCTCACTCAAACTCAACGAGGTAGAGGGGCTTAGAGCGATAAACCGGGGTTCCGGTCTGCACTCGAAACTGACCGCCATAAGGCGGCTGCCATTGTACGCAAATTTGACCACTCGTCACATGACCAAACCAAATACGTGACGTCACAAGAAAGATGGCAGCGCCCATGCAGCGGCTGGCCCCAGCTGGGCCGGAGCTTGTCCGATGCTTTGTTGGTTGTCGTTCGTCTCGGCGAGTTGATTTCAGACGCGAAAGCCATCATAGGAGGCCGGTAAAAAGTGACTTCAGAGTTCAGCGTGGTGTCTGACGTAGGTATAACGTGAAAATACGGACGAACGGTGTGCATTTCGCTGGTGACCGACGGAGATATTGCCACGGAAAAGACAATCTGCCCTACGTTGCTCGGAACTCGGATTGATTTGGATACCACTAAGATCAAATTTAAGGCGACGTTTCTGTTCTCTCATTGACCATCGCAATCTTCGGGGTCTGCAGTGACGCGTGTGCAACATATTTGGATACACAGTTTAGCGACGGAAATTGCGTGAGTCGTGCTTGGCAGTGGGCAATCGTGGTGCCGCTTCGTCCTAATGACCGAAGGCTCGCTTTGGTTGTGCGGCGCACCAGAGAGCTGCCTTGAAGCTGGTAGTTCCCGTGCCGTGCTAAATGATGCTGTGCTGCTTCCCAAATTGTTCCGGCGTAGACGTGCACTTTCACGGAGCACAGGTGTGCGGTGCACCGATGAGCTGCCTTCAAGCTGGTAGTTCCTGTGCCATGCTTTAAGTGATGCTGTGCTGCTTCCCAAATTGTTCCGGCGTAGACGTGCACTTTCACGGAGCACAGGTGTTGCAGTTGGTACTGATTACACTGGTCTGTCGCACGCTTCGTCGACACAAATGTTTCATCAACACTCGTTACGCGAATTGCAAGCCGTTTAAACATTTCATTGCCCGTGTTACCTACCCACTCCACCCGTTCACGCCGCTTTGTGACGACAGTCTGCAGCGGCTCATTACCAGAAAAGTGGTCCCACATCCATTTCAGTTCAGTTCACCCACGGCAGTCGCCAAACCCTGAGGGAGAGAATTTATTCGGACAGAATGCCACTAAAGCAATGCAGCTTCTTTAGTGGTCAGGGTAGCCTCTCTTCTGTCAGTTTTGTTATATTGTCACGGATGCTTGCTCCAGTCCTATCTTCTATCAGTATTTACTATTCTGGAAAGTTCCAGGCCATGCTCAGCTGTCATCGTATGTTCTGGGGGAGGTGCTGGGTACTTTACCCATAGCCCTTCACTCTGTGTGAACCTTGGCAGCTCCTCAGCCGAGCTGCCCGATAACGGGACACGGGTGGCGGACTATCCCGCGTCTTAAACCCCCGGCGAGCCGTGAACCAAGTTTTATCCCGAGCCCAGCAGAAAGGCCGCAAGTCGAGCAAGTTCCACAAGGACGAACCTCGAAAATACACCACGAAGAACCTGAAATCCGAGTCGGTCGCTGCTACCAGCAGGAACCACTGGAATTCGGTCTTTTGCCAGAAAACCCGAAGCTGACTAAGCCAACAATGACAAACTGTAGCAGCAAACCACGTCCACTCCCACCATTGTTTGTATGCCAGTCGCACCTCACACTCCGACGCCCTTTTACGCATGGTATATAAAGACGTCGAGGGCTGGATTGAACAATATGACCGTGTTGCCCGCCACAGTGGGTGGACAGACAACTAGCTCCTGCAGAACCTATACTTCTCGTGGAAGAAACTGTCAGGCACTGGTTTGAGAACCACGAATCCTCCTCAACGTCATAAGAAGTTTGCAAGATCGAGCTGAAGTGCACATTCATTAGCCAACATTGACGAGAAAAGGTCGAATTCTTGATTCTGTCCGGTACACGGCCCCAACAAGAGCGTCGCTGCCTTCGTGGAGGACGTTTTGCGCCTGATCGAGCACCCACGCCAACCCTAGTGCTGCAGAAGACGAGAAGCTAAGAATCCCATGTGAGGGACAGCACCTTCGGCAGCCTTGTCCGCAACCCCACGACAACAGTCGAAGGGTTCATATCACCGAGGCTTCCAACATTGAATGTACACTGCAGGCCCGAGCTTGTCACTATCAACAACTCCCCAGCGTCTCGACACTCGAGTCATTCAGTTGCAACTTCAACGCTAGACTCCCAGGCATCCACATTGTTGTTCGGGAGGAGATCAGGAAGCTGCTTTCTGCCATCAGTAGCCCAGCTTTTATTTTGATTGCCAAGATTGTTTCAGAACAAGTTCGACAGGCATTTCAACTGAAGACTTCTTCGAGCAAAGCGGCATCTGACAAACCGAGGGCGCCTTATGCCACAATGACACGACGTCCGCCACCGGCTATCCGTTAGTATTCAATGCCAATTCAACGAAATACCCCAACGCCGAAGCATTCCCGGCATCGGAAAGAGCCAGTGTAGGTTCTCGCTGAACAAAGTTCATCGAGGAAAACGAAGGTACTGCGAATGGTCGACCGAAAACCACTCTGCTACCACTGCATGAGGCTGACCATGTCTACTGGAGGTACCCGTACCAATAAATTGGCCTGCAAGAGTTTGTGCGGAACGACCTTCGACCACGCCTCGAGAAGTGTCCGCGGGACATTGATGATTGTCTTCGGTGGCCTTTGCCCCTGATGCTGACATTACCCCGAAGCTCCTGATCCCCATCACCTCGACGGGATGTAAGCACGACAAAGCAGGTGAGCGGCAATGCAAGGACAGTTTATTTGGTGTCGGTTGTCGTCCAATGACAATACCTAATAATTCGCTGACACCAATTATCTGTGTCCACGCCATGAAGCACACAATTTCCAACTTTGACGGAGAATGCCGCTGAGTGAAATTAAGAAATAGAATGGTTGGTTGTTCTCAAAAGTGGAGACCAAGCATCACCCAACTTCCCTTTGCCACACGAGACTTACACAAGTTGCAGTGGTCGCGGGATGCAGAAAAGATCACCATTACGAAATGGAAGTGAAATGGCTTGGATAGCAAACAAATACTGTTGCCTGTTGCCAGTCATCAAGTGAACACTACAGCAAAAAGGCACAGCCACGTAAGCACTACATGCCCGAGCTTGCTACACTGGTGCAGCGAACTACCAGAAAAATTTGCGGATTAGAAGCCAGCTCCGCAGCTTCAGTGGATCAAATGTCAGTGGCCACACATGACGTAAGATTACTAGAGGGCATCTGTCGGTTACAGTTGCCACTCGACCAAACTGAACACCGACGCGCCAGAAGCGTCATCCGACAACAAGGAGCACAGGTACCACGACTGAACGCCTGACACTAGACTGAAGTGGAAATAAAAATATTTGATGAACTAACTAGATAAACATATTTCCGCTCGCCTTTACGCCTTCACAGTCTCTAAACAAAGAATTATGTTCACCGCACGTGCTGGACATTTTAAGGGCAGCCGCATCTCTGACCCCTCAATATTAATTGATGGGACATACCAGACTGGTTGCATTGAGCTGCACTCGTTCCACTTCTCCTGAACATGTACCGCATCCGAAAACCAACTCCAGTGATGCGAAAAAAGTTGTTTATCAATTTATTCCCTCCAAGGGCCTCTGTAGGCATTGCAGAGAGGATACTTAAAGCTAAACACATGATAACATCAAAGCACACGGACATTAATGAGCACAAACCGGGCCCACCTGCCTAAAATAAATATTACACTCGTAAGAAACAATTATTGCTGCAACTTGTTGGGTGCAAAAACAAACACACCTCTGATCATCTAGTTTTAATAGTATGGAT